AACCGATCTTGGGGCAAAGAACAAGAACAGAATACAAGCTCAACATAGTTCTGAAATCGCCAAGAACAAAACAAGAACCGAATAGGAGCGCAACTTAGTCCCGAAATTGCCAAGAACTTCTTTCAAAACCAAGAAACCTATTCCCAAAATTACCCGGAATCGATTCTAGACCATGAAGCATAAGAACTTACGAAGTGCGGCTCCCATGGATGCGGTGCACACCGTCCTAGTGGAGGCATGTCGACAAAAGATGCTCGGCGGTACTCCGAGGGTATCCCACAAAGGTAGATTGATTGGTGAAGGTGCGCGTTATCAGGAACTGGATGGTGACACAAAGCGTAGAGACAACGATTTAGACAGGTTCAGCCATCTGATCAACGTAATACCCTATGTCCTGTGTCTTTGGTGTATTGTATTGAGATGTATATAGATGTATCCATCGACTAGGGACCCCTGCCTCTCCTTATATAGTCTAGAGGGGTAGGGTTACAAGGAATGTATCTTATTTGGTACTATACAATATCTTGTGGTGCATGTCGACCAGTGTCGTGCACGCCTTGATCTTGTGGGTTGGGCCACCTCTGATGGTGCGGCCCATGTCTTGTCTTATGGATACCGGGGGTCATATCCCCCACAGCTAGTCCCCGAGAGCCTTATATCCTTTGAGCAACGCTGTCTTGAACAAGTCCAAGCACTTTGACATGAAGCCAATCAGTTTAACTAGTGATTCGAGAAGTGGAAGTCAAAACCGACCAGTTTAACTGGTGACCTAGGCGGTGAAGGTCGAAGCTAACCAGTTTAACTGGTGACCTGGGCGGTGAAGGTCAAAACCGACCAGTTTAACTGGTGACCTAGGCGGTGAAAGTCAATACCGACCAGTTTAACTGGTTAGGAGACCTCAGACTTAGCCAAGTAAGGCTTGCTAGAAGGATGTAAGGGGCTCAAGATAAAATTTAAAAATTCTTTCACTTAGGAGAAGTGTAGCCACTTAGACTCCATCAATAAGGAGGGTAAACTCAACAAATAAGCACTACATTCATTGCCAGGTGAAGTGTAGCCACTTAGTCCCCGAGCCTGCTGGAAGATGAAGAATGAATCTTGTAACAGGGTCAAAGAAAAGAAGTCTGAAAGCTTGCTGACGTCATCTGACATGCGCATATCAAGACCCCAGACGTGCTGTCCAAGATCAGCACCCTGATCCAAACAGCATGGAGCGGCTTGATAGCACACCGATGAGACGTCGCAAGATCCAACCATCAAAGGAGTCCTCGGCTTAGCTGGCAATGTCTGAGCACCAACAAGTTCTCGACATAGCTGGCGATGTCCGAGCACCGAGAAGTCCTCGGCGTAGCTAGCGAGCACTAAGGATTCCCCGACGCAGCTGGCGAGCACCAAGGAGTCCACAGCGTAGATGGCGATGTCCAATCACCGAGGAGTCCCTGGTGTAGCTGGCGATGTCCGAGCACCGAGGAGTCCCCGGCGTAGCTGGTGACGTCCGAGCACCGAGGAGTCCCCGGCGTAGCTAGCGATGTCCGAACACCGAGGAGTCCCCAGCATAGCTGGCGACGTCCGAGCACCGAGGAGTCCCCGATGTAGTTGGTGATGTCCGAGCACCGAGGAGTCCCCGGCATAGCTAGCGATGTCCGAGCACCGAGGAGTCCTCGGCGTAGCTAGCGACGTCCGAGCACCGAGGAGTCCTCGGCGTAGCTAGCAATGAACAGTCGGTCAACTGGTCAGCAGCAAAGTGAGCATTGAGTAGAAGCGACCGGCGAACAGTCCGATCAACTGGTTGATGGTGAAGTTCATGAACCTAGCGGTTCGACCAGTTGATCGGTGGAGAAGTCCAAGCATCAGATGGTCTGATCACCTAGACGAAGATCCTGCAATACAAATATGTAGAACGGGTAGTACATGATGTAAGATATATGAACTCTGGAGAAGAATCAGCAATGGTGATGAAATATCATATGCAGCTAGGCGATCAGTTGGTGTGAACACTTAGTGTTATTCTGAAGATGTATTTATATTTAATATAAACCATCTGACCAGTTAGTGTATAGCTGAGTCTCCAGCCCTAACTAGCCCATTAACCATAACGTGGAGCACGGAGCCTGTGTGCGTGTAGGAAGAACAAAGTGTTGCTAAGAAGCCGTTGCCGACCACCCATAATGCAGAGGGCAGACGCTCGTGCACGTGTAGGGAGGAGCCAGAGATAGGGCCATCTCTGGGGACATTCGAGCGTCAACATGACTGTTTGGTGATTCGCCTTAGACTTAGTTGTATGTCATCTTTAAGATGGTATACGCGGAGAAAATCATTTGGAGAGCAAACATGGAGAAACACAGCTCGGAGAAACATTATGGAGATATACGAAGATTGGAGAATATTTAGAAAAATATTAGAGCGTGACTTAGCTATAGACAAAATGTCTGGTCAACGTCGTATGGCGTTATCTGGTCGGCGACGTGGCCAGCTCGCTTAGTGTCTCGCTTGACGGCTGGAACAAAGTTGATCTCGTGTTGGAGTAGGACGGACATAGTCGGAGCTTGGTGGTGTCAATCCGCGTACGAATATGTGCGCCGTGGTTGTCGAAGGATGTCGATGCGATCAGCCGAGTTACCGCGAAGGATGTTGATCTTGAGTTACGCCATCTGGTTCGCCAGGGATTAGCGCGCACGAGCCCCACGGTCGTCGCCAACTGTCGACAAAAGATGCTTGGTAGTTCTCCGAGGGGTATCCCACGAAGGTAGATTGATCGGTGGAGGTGCTCGTAATCAGGAACCGGATGGTGACATAAGGCGTAGAGACAACGATTTAGACAGATTCAGGCTGTCTGATCGACGTAATACCCTACGTCATGTGTCTTTGTTGTATTGAATTGAGATGTATATAGATGTATCCATCGACTAGGGGACCCCTGTCTCTCCTTATATAGTCTGGAGGGGTAGGGTTATAAGGAAAGTATCTTATTTGATACTATATAATATCTTGCGGTGCATGTCGACCAGTGCCGTGCACGCCTTGATCTTGTGGGCTGGGCCACCTCCGATGGTGCGGCCCATGTCTTGTCTTATGAATACCGGGGGTCATATCCCCCACAAGGCGTGACCGTAGACGTGGGGCTGGAGGTGCACACAGCACACCGTCTTGGTGGAAGCCGTAGACGTGGGGCTGGAGCTGGGGGTGGCGGTGGAGGCAGCAGAGCTCCATCGCCGTCGGCCACGCCATGCCTCATGTTGCTCGCGTGCGAGACGGCGTCGAGCTAAAGCGATGCTCTCGTGTGGCGGAGCCACTTCAGCACCATCTTTTCACAAGACGGGGGACGGTTTTACCCTCGCCTGATGCAATTTCTGATGAAACCCTTGTGTCTGTTTTTAGAACTGAAACCCTCATGTCTTTTGCAAATTTTTGGAAAGTGTTTCTGATAATGGATAGAGGGGGCTGAGCTAAATAGTGGGGAAACTTAGGAGGTTAGAATTAAATAGTTGGGGACACTTGCGGGGTAGTATTTTATCTCAGGAAAAAATTAGTATTTTGGTAATTTCGACTTCCTTCTATGAAATAATAATGTCGAGATGATTGAATTTGATTTTAAAAAGATAAAAAGTGTTTCATATTGGTGTGGGGGGGATTCTGAAAAAAATGGGAAGTTCTGCTGACTTTGATTATTTAATATAGATTAAAAAATGAAAATTTAGTTTTTTCACTCAGGTGAAATAATTCCACCTCTTTTTTTCATAGTAAAAAAATCATTTCCTTGCAAGGCTTGTGATTTTGATTAGTATATGTGCACTTATTTCCTCATCTATAAAACAATTTCTCATATATTCAGATTCAGCCAATATTTGACGATAATTCATCTTTTTACAGTGATTTAGTATGACTTGTATTTGATGTTTCAATAATTGCAACTCAATGTTGCACATGTGCCATCAAACTGTTTCACGGAGACTTAATAGTGTGGCTAATAAGGAATATTTGTTGACACGGAAGAGAGAGAAAAAGAGAGACAGGACATCGTTGTTATGGGTAACGGCTCTTCCTCTTATAAGCTGTATTGTTTTAGTCGACAAATAGTATTTTTTTCTCACGATAAATCAGCCAACAGTATTTTTAGCCATAGCTTATCAGCCAAGCAAACAGAGCAAACATCGTTAAAGCATCCCAATACTTTTCTCTATCCTCATAAAATTGTTGTATTGAGGACGGCTATACTTTTTTCTTGCTCCGAGCAGTTCCCCAATATCTCTTCTTCTTTTTATGACTACCGATATTTCCCTCATCTCCCTTCAAAGAAAGGGGAAGATATAACTCCCATAATACTATAGTGATCATCCCAACTACTACTTTTTAGTTATATTTTCTCTTATACTCCTATGAAACCCACCTTCTATAAGGATATTGGGGGGTATATATTGAGGTATTGCTGTAGCAATTCCTCAAATATTAACAAAAGATAATATTGGACTACCCCAATATATGTAAATTGCGAAAAGATTATTGGGAACTGGAGATGCTCTTAAGTCTTGTTTAGTTCCTCACTCTAAAGTTTAGTCCCTATCACATTAGATATTTGGACACATACATGGAGTATTAAATATAGACTAAAAAATAATTAATTGCACAGATTACGATTAATTTACGAGATGAATTTTTTAAATCTAATTAGTCTATAATTTAACAATGTGGTACTACAATAAACATATGCTAATGATAGATTAATTAGGTTTAATAAATTCGTCTCGTGAATTTATAAAGACTTTTATAATTTATTTTATTAATACTACGTAAACACCACCTAACATCTCAGCTCTCGCGCATCGCATTGCCGGCCGGCCGGCCTCCTTTGTCTGCCGCTCGTTCTTGTCCTTCTCCCTTCACGGCTTGCTTCCTTTGATAACTCCAAGGCAAGCATCCTTCGTCCACTGTTGACCACTTGGCCTCACTCACTCAGCAATAGCTGCCACTGCTGCCGTGTCTCAGAAGGAGGCGTTGCGGCCATGGCGGCTTCGAAGCCCATCCTGTACAGCGCGTGGATCAGCTCCTGCTCCTTCCGAGTCCGGATCGCCCTCAACCTCAAAGGTAACTGGATCAAACCGCTGGCTCTGGTTTCCTGTTCCACAGTTGACGGCGAATCTTGCCCAAAGCAGGGGTCTCGTTCCCGGGAGATGGGGACACTGGGACCTTTTCTTGATTTATTAATCAGTTTGTCAGATTTTGGGGGAAATGGGTGGCTAGCTACTAGGCCACCCCGATTTTGGACAGGCAGTATCTTTGGGGTTTGTCTGAATCTCTGGGCTCCAGGGACCGGGCCACAGGGATGATTCCCAGTCCGTTGTACCAGGTGCTTTGTTACTTATTACATGAGATAAAACAAGTTAATTTTGATTTGTGCAAATCTTCACCTGTCTTTTGCTATGTAGCCTGTGAGAAATGCATTAAATATGGTAATGTTCTATCTAATTAATTTATGGACAGAAAAGAAGTATATCTGCATCCAACATATAGTAATAAAATTCTGTAAATGCTCAGTCAGTAGACTACTCAAATTTGACTGCAAGTTGAAGCACGCAAAATTAAATCTTCTTGTACTATTGCTTGTCATTTGAATATTTGATCATTACTTTTTCTGTGAACTAATTGTTCCAATTTCTCTATGATGAAGGTGTGGATTATGGGTACAGGGCTGTGACACGGACCGATCTAGGTTAGCAGTAAAAATAATCTTGTATTACATACATCATCTTAATGGCTGAAAGATGTGATACATGGAGGGAAAGAAATGTTAACTAGTAAGTTGTTGACATTAACCATAATAGTTCCCATAATTGTGACCCTATTTTAGATTACGAAAAGATCAATCCAATCAAGTATGTCCCGGCATTGGTTGATGGGGATTTTGTTGTTTCTGACTCCCTGGCAATCATATTGGTGAGCTGTATTCTTCTGTAATTTCTTGATCATTAAATTGCCACTTTAGTATTATTGACAAACTTCTTGCTTTCTGTTTAGTATCTTGAAGACAAATATCCTCAACACCCTCTTCTGCCTCAAGATCTCAAAAAGAAAGCTATAAATCTGCAGGTACCCAAATACTCGAGAGGTTTTATGCTATGAAACTAAGGTTTTCTTAAGGTTTTTGAAATTACAAGACTACAGGTATTCAAGCATTTAATAAGATATCCATGCTTTATTTTGCAACTTTTTTTTTTAAGAGACTGTATTTTGCAAGTAATACTCACTTTTAAATAACAAATAAAGGAACAAAGGACCAACAGGGTCCCAGGATCATCTCAAGTGTACAGATCTAACATTGTAAATCACCAATGCCATATGGATGATGGATGTTTCTTCTCTGCAGATTGCAAATATAGTGTGTTCGAGCATTCAACCTCTTCAATGTTATGCAGTAATTGTGGGTTCATTACAACCAATGACTGTTAATGAAATATTGTGTTTCCTTTATCAGTATTGATGTAATGATCCATGGTTTATGCTATTCCCATGGCAGGGTCTGGTTGATGGCAAGTTAGGCTCAGATGAGAGCCTTCAGATTGTTCGGAATTACACCGACAAGGGATTTAAAGGTGTGATTTGTTGCACTCTGTAATTGAATTTTTTTTGGTCATTGCATATCGCTCTTCCTTGAGTACGCCTCTGAAAAATTGGGTAGAAATATGGTGTACCATAACAAATGGCATTTCCTTGTAACACCTAATAAACTTGGCCTTTGTCAGTTTCTTTCATACTCTCTTGTCCTTACTTTTTGTTGCATATATTTTGTGTGTACCCACTATGACTTTTCCCCTGGATTTGCTCAGCAATCGAAAAACTTCTGGAAGGTTGTGACAGTAAATATGCTACTGGAGACGAAGTCCAACTGGTTAGTGCTTTAGACTAGTCCTGCAATCATCTTCCTTGTGCCTAAAAGGTTCCTGTTGCACTGGTTCTGTCCATTTGCTCTAGAGTGCTTCCTGAATTTATTTACTTGATGATCAATTTAATATGAACCTTGATACTTCAATTACTGCATTGTTTCACATTGGATGTTACCAAATATCTGCTGGTGTGTGTTTTGTGCTCTTGAACAGGCAGATGTCTTTCTTGCGCCCCAGATCCATGCAGGCGTGACACGCTTCCAAATTGATATGGTACGATATGAAACCTGACATCACCTCTATCTAGATGTAAAATCATTTCTCCTGAGCAATGCTCAGAGGCCAGAAAACTAATGCATAGAAGCGGTTGCTTTGCTGCAGTCAAACTACCCTCTTTTGGAGAGGTTCTACAAAGCCTATATGGAGATCCCAGCATTTCAAGTAGCGGCTCCTGAAAAACAGCCAGATGCGCCTGCGTCCCCATACTGAAATGAAATCTGCAGCCATGTTCAGATAGATGCCTGTAGAGATTCAAAATAATTTACTTGGGTCACGTTGTCTTCCATCCTTCCACGGTAATCTATGGATTACTTAGGGATGTTGCAACCAGTTAAACTCTTCTTCTGCTTAATGAAATACGTGTCACAAGGACACGCTCTCGGAAAAAAAAAAATCTGCAGCCATTGTCAGATAGATGCCTGTAGAGATTCAAAATATTTAGGACGTTTGAAGTAAATGAAGTTGTTGCTTCGTCCACCTAGTGTGGAGGCGTGTTACAAAAAGGAACTAGAGATATTTTGGAATCGTGCTGTACTAGAAAATTCTTAAACTCGCTCAAAATATTTGAAGCTCCAAATATGCTTTGGTCCCTTCAGCCTGGCCTTTCAATCCATCGTTTTAGCTCGCGCTAAGCCGCCCCACCGGCTCCGGCTTTGAGCCTGCGCCATCGCGTTAAAATGCACCTCAGTCCAATAGGCTGAGCCGGGATTCATCGACGAGCCCAACAAACAACCAAACGAAATTTTGGGCTCTAGTTTATGCCATAAGCTAAATTTAAGACCAATTTAGTAATTGAGTAGCCTGTTGCACAAATGAGCACAATTAATAAAGAAGGTCAAATAAAAGAACATTTTAAACAAAGTGATATTTCGAAACTAGCTCTACTTTATTAACCAAGACTATAACAACATTACCTGCAACCAGCAAACTCAAACATTGACAATAACTTCTGCATGAAGATTTAGTGGATTATAGATTAGTAAGTCAAACTGTGGCTCTGTCAGACTGCCACAATTACACAAATCTTACAATACACACAGTTCATTTAGCAACCACCTATTTCAACACTAGAAAAAAGAATAGACCTCATCAAATTTAACAGCAAACAGGAGGATAGAGTCAGGCAGTAACTACTCAAAGGATAGGCATGCACCACCCTCTGCTTCAACACATTCAAAGGGATCGCTTATAGACAAATCATGGGCATGATTGATATGCAAAAACTCATGGAGACAGCTTTTAGTAGTAAAATAAAACCGAGCGCATCTTGAAGCCCTTTTCTCCAGCTGGAGCAGCTGATGCTGCTCTGCAAGAAATCTAGCAGTCACACTGTACCTTTCACATTGAAATGTCATAGACTCCAGCATCTTTGCGTTCAGTACAAAGAATGTTGCAAAGTTAACTTGTGACTTTATGCCTCGATAATACTTATTCAACACAACAGTCTTGAGACGGATGTCAAGGCCTTTGATAATATTACGATGTTTACACCGCCATAAATTCTTGTCTCCATCCTGGCATGACTGAAAAGAAAAAAAAAACAGTATACAAACACAACCAATTCAAGAAGAATTGACACAATAGTAAACCAGATTCAAAGAATATATGAACACAATGAATTTACTAGTTTAGTATGTTTACCTGGATATACAACTTCGCCAAGCATGGGAAGCATCTCATTAAGTCAATAATCACATCTAGGCTAAGATTAGAAATATAGACTGCTAAAATCTTGACAGTACAAGCCGGCGTTGTCGAGTTAATGACCCGGAATTCCTTTATGCGGCATGGCTGCATGAAACATGCGTCAGCACATTTATAAAATTCGATATTTTCAAGTTTTTTCTGCACACAGAAAAAGCAACTCAAAATCTGTAGGCAAGAGGTAGAAAACCAAGAGGTACCTCAATAATCGTTGAGCCCAAAGCGAGCCTGGAAGAGCCGTCAGCATAACTCAGGCAACCCAAGGTCTCCAGTTTAGGTGCTGAAATAACTGATACTCGTAGTCCCGTGCCCGTTCGTGGTGATCGAAGATACAGAATCCTTTTAAGGCAAGGGGCATCCTCGACAATGAATTCTTCTAAGATGGTCATTGTTCGGTCATACGCAGCACTCACCCCAATGCTTGTAAGGCTAGCTGAGTTGATCCTGACACAGCGGCAGCCAAAGATTCTGCGAAGCAGCAAGCCCTGGAGGACGGGAGAAGCAGCAATGATGCTATGCAGGGAATCCTCCCAAATGATGACCCGTTGAAGTGCGAACTTCTTGAGCCGGGGGAACTGAAGCGACTGGGTGATGTCGTCAGAGGTGGCATTGGCTGAAAGTGGCGACGCAAAGGGACGACGAGAACCGGAAGGTAGATGCTGGCGGAGGTGGCAGTTTCAACCCGTCCGTCGCAAAGCAGTCAATCTCCTGGATGTTGTCGAGGGCGGGGGATCGGAGCCAAGCATCCACAGTGGCGGGGTGATCCTGTAGGTGTTGTGCGGGGAAGCGAAAGCGGCGGCCGGGGCCACGGTGGGCGGAGAGGATGCGGGAGATGACATCGATGGTGACGAGCAGGTCACCGCCGTCGAGGTTGAGAGGGGCGGAGCGCCAGAGATGGCGCCACCGGGTGGCGAGGATTTGGGTGCGGGCGGCATCCTTGGTGGGGAGGAGAGAGATGACCTCACCCAGAATGGCGTCCGGGAGGCGGCTGATTCGGTCGACCCCATCTTCTTCCTCTCCGCCGGCTCCGGGTTCGTCTCCCCCGGTTCCAGGAGGACTGGAATCAGGCGCACTCGTCGCTGGTAGCGGCGAGATGTTTGCTTCGCCCTCCTGTTCCAGGCTCTCGGGTGCCTCCAGCTTCCTTTTCTTGGCACGGCGAGCCGCCGCCAGAGTCTCCATGGCCGCCGGCCGGCCGTTGGGTTGATTGGGGGCGGGAAAAGGGAAAACACGACGGCTGGCTGAAGCTCCGTAGGGTTTGGGTGCGAACGTGCGTGCAGCATCCAGATTCCAGAGGCCTCCCGTTCCCGGCCCATGGGCTTTTAACTTCAAAACCAATTTTGATTTTCAAATGCAGCACAACTGCCTCCACTCAAAAAAAAAAAAGCACAACTGCGTAACGATTATCCCCTCCCGATTACTACATAATGCAGCATAGGGAAAAAATTTCTTTCGATTAACAACATCAGCATCATCGGGTTGCTCTCTGTTTGTGCAGATAAGGGTCTTCCATGCCCAATACATAGCATATGGACACGCCCAAAAAACTGCATGTGGACCATACCTTTTTATTAGATTGAAGTCCATTGTCAATCGCCAAATATCTGAAAGACCTTATATATTCTGTTTAGTATGACTGCATATATGAACATTTTGGTGATTATAAGCAATAGAAGTATTTTAGATTAAGTTGTAAGGAACTCTCTGACGCAAAATTTTCTCTGAAGGTAAATATAGCTCGTATGTTACACCTTCTAAATGAGGTTTACATGAATAACAGAAGTATTTTAGCTTAAGTTGTAAGGGTCTCTCAGATGCAAAATGTTCATTCCATTCAAACGATTTTTGCCAAAAGCGTTATAACAGTCTTGAAGGTAATTTAGGATTCATATAAGGACAAAAAGCATGGGGACTCGTGGATGTCAGTTCACTAAATGTTAGGAAAATATAAGTTCAGTTTTTCTGAAGGATAGTGTTCTTGATATAAAAAAATGGTGTTTCTCGTCCATGTACCATGTAAAGAGGTACAATTTCAGCCATATTTTTTGTCTGGCATATTTTTGGTCTAGCCTCCTTTTAAATTCTATGCGTTTTCAGTGAAGACTACTAATCCTACACGTTTTCATCGGAAACTCAGAACAAAGTTCACGTATACAACAGGGCAAACAAGAAAAGTTCACGTATACAACAAGGCAAACAAGGAAATCTCCTACCTCAGGCAAGTAATTGGATCGAAGTCGAATCCAAATCCAAATAGAAATAGAAATAGAGAAAAATACACCATAAATACGTGATTGCACCAACAAAAAACCAAACGATCGGCTCGATGCCGTGTTGCCCACACGCCGTGCTTCAGGCGCTGGTATTGGTCCCTGCAACGGCGGCGGCGCCGGCGCTCCTCCATCTCCAGCAGGTGGAGACAGCGGAAGAGGAGGATGAGGAACACGTAGGCGATGATGAAGCGCGACATCGATCGGAGACGAGGCAGATCCGAGCAGGAGAGAGCTGGAAGAGACGGAGGAGCTAAAAAAAGAAGCTTTTACCAGCCCTCCTGTCTCACACAGGATGGGCACCGCTGCTCCTAGATCCACGCGCTGCGGCTGCTCCTCCCTTCTCGCGCGCGTAGCCGGCGATGGAGAAGAAGCGCGAGGGGCATCCGGCCATGAACGGATTGCGGGAGACAGGGCGGCGACGAGGGGCGAGATGGCGCGGCAGGCGCGGCGGGGGAGGGGGGGCGACGCTGCAGGCGGTTCGGGAGGGGTGGCGCGCCGACGCTCGGTAGCGCGACGGAAGGTGCGGGGCGGTGGTAGTTGGCTGAGCGGGCGCGATGGGGCGGCGGAGAAGAAAGCGAGACCGTGGTGCGCGAGCCGTGAGATCCCGGGGATGGGAACGACGGAATAAGGAAAAGGAGAAATAAATAATAAAATACAAAAGAAGAAAAAAAGAAAAGGAAAAAAGAAAAAATTAATGGAAGCACGATTTTTTTTTTTTGGTGTTTCCTTTTAGCTTTGTCTGTCTACTAACTTCCGCCCGTCACTTTCGTATACAATTCGTTTGCCAGCTAATTTTACTGAGAGTTAGTGAAGCTCAAAAACAACTAAGAGTTATTAGTAATATATGATGAATTAGAGATTAAAATCTTAATTATTTAATTGCCTTGTACTTTTGCGCCGTACTCATGCGAATTGGATAGTGTAATTCTAAAATGCCTTAGAACGATGACGCAAGATATAAATCTCATTACGACGCACGGACATTCAGGGATCGATAACATGAGTATGAAATATGAGTAGCACTTGTCCAACTACGACAGAATAGAATCGCACAACTAATTGAAATACATTATGTGATCATTAATTTTTATACTATAAAATATCTAGGATCATTTAAGACGTGCGTCCCGTTGCAACATACGGAAAGTTTTGCTAGTAAATATATTAAGGTCACAAGCATATGAACATGGAAATAAACTATCCCCATCAAAAACAAACAAAAAAGCTCTTGTGCAGGCAGTAAACTGCTAAGGTATCAAACAATAGAATCCATGGCATTAATATGATGGAGGCAAATGAAAATACTTGCATATTTTCGGCAGGCAAGCTATACAGAATCAGATCTAGATCACAACCAATTTCTACAGCCGAAACAATTTTGCACGCACTATTACAGAAAACTTAATGGAGGCGACCGTTTTAGGTTTTTGGAGGTGGGCATCGAAAGGTCTCGGTAAATGCGGATTAGCGGAGGCGGTTACTTTGCCCACCTTGAAAAATAAAATAAAAAAAAAAAAAAAGGAAAAAAGCTCGCAGCCCGAACCAGGCCTAGATCTACTGCCTAGATCTAGGAGGAGCTGTTGTCCTCGCGCGGATCCGCCACTCACCCCCGCCCTGCCACTGCCGCATGAGCCCCACCACCACGTGAACCGCGCCGGATCTGGGCTCCTCCTTGCCGGATCGGGTCCTCCTCGTCGGATAGGGTTCCTCCTCACCGGATCTGCGCGCCTACCGCTGCTGGTGACTGGATCCACGCCCCTCTGCCTCTGGTGGTCGGTTGGTGGCCTAATCCGCGCCAGGTGAGGGAGAGGCACCGCCCTACTTGCCGGTGGTGGAGAGGGAGAGAGGGGGGGGAGCGCCGCATGGGGGAGAGAGGGAGCGTCGCATGGGGGAGAGGGAGGGGTGTCGTCTGCACTGCATAGGGGACAGAGGGAGCATCTCACATTGCGTGGGGGAGAGGGAGGGGTGCCACACTGCATGCCGGCTATGGAGAGGGAGAGGGAGAGGAGAGGGAGCGCCGCATGGGGAGAGATGGAGGGCCGCCCGCGCTCGGGGGAAGAGAGGGAGGGCCGGGCACTCGATTGAGAGGGAACCCTAACTACTACTCTTATACAAGCCCGATTTGGGCTTTGCCGGCCGGGGCTAGTATTTTTGGAGAGAGGGAGGGCCGGGCGAAAAAATGGATTCGATTGAGAGACGGAACCCTAACTATTTTTTAAGGCTACTACTTATACAAGCCCGATTTTGGTTGGGCTTTTGTCCCGATTCAGGCCGGGACTACTTAATCGAGACTAAAGGTGGTGATCTTTAGTCGGTTTGCTGGGCTAGTATTTTCGGAGACAGTTATAGGATGCCCGCCTCCGAAAAAATGGATTTAACAATGGATGGGATGCTTTCTTAACTAACCCACCGACTCTGTTCCAACCGGGAAAATAGACTATTTTTAAGGCTAAAGGTTGGAGGACTTATTTTAAAACAGCGCCTCTAGTCCCGGGACAAAAATCCATCTTTGGAGGCGGGCATTTTCCAATGACCTCAGTAAATAAAAGGACCGTCTTCATAAATCGATTTTATGAGATGGTTATTTTTTTGTGCCTCAGTAAATAAAACGACTGCCTCGATTAATTATTGGCATTTTTCGAAGCGGTTGAATTTTGTGACCGTTTCGATTAATGTTTGGGAACAGTGTCTCGTAAAATCATCTTTGCAGTAATGACGGCTTGCCTCGTGTAACATACGAGAAGGCCCTAGTTTGTCTCGTGTTCATCACTATACAAAGCGTTCTTGCACGGTTCTGAACTTTATATCCTCAATGTATGCCTTTGTTTCATACATTCTGGTTTGTTCGAAGAATTTGACAATAAATAAGCAACTGGGGCCAGATGGTTTGTGTAACTGTGTTAACAGAAAAGGAAACAGAGTGTACGGCTCCTGTCTGACTACATATGCCAATTAACCTAATTGTAACCTGCGATTCTGCCAACCAAGTGCAAAGGCCTCTTGTTCGCCAACTGAGCTAGAGGGAGAGGGACGTACGCGGCCGGGCCCTGACTGCTGATCGAGTAGATCTCTACTGCTGAGGGACTTGCATTGGGACGGATAAGCCACCTGATTGGTGGGCACGGATGAGGGCTCTGTGGCGAAGTAACAATTTTTTGTAGATCGTGCTATGCACGAGTTTCATTAAGAGAAGGGAAACGACCTACAAAATTAGAGAACAATACAGACCGACAAGAAAAAAAAGAGAGCATGCGGAGTGCCTAGAAAACGAGAGAACAAAGAGAAAGAAACAAAAGGAGATACAGACTACCTAACTACACACAGCTCAAGCCACATTTGAAACTATCGCTCCTAAAACTACTATACGTTGGAAATATGTGCCTAAAATATATTCTAGAGTTTGTTTGGAGGAAAAACTCATAGATAAAAAATGATGCAAGCATATAACACAAGTAAACAGACAATATACTGACTAGAACAGGATTACGCAAAGAAATTACACAATGATCCCGCGCAGAACGTAGTCGAACGTGTTGAAGTAAATGTTGCAGATCACCAAGCGGTCGCATATAGACGCTGCCCAAAAACCTGATTGCCGCCCCGTGCAGAAGTCTCGCGGCAGTGGTTTCGGAGATCCCGCTCTCTTTAAGTCCGGTGCACACCGAACTCAAAGGTCGACGAGGCGCAGCAGCGAGAAGCTCAGCACAGCAAGTGAGAAGGTGAGCGTGTGAATGCGCACCCTTCAACCAGGACGTCTCCTGGTTTTATAGGCCTTCATAGTGTATCAATTCCCCTCATCAAGTAGTAAAAACTGTCAAATTGAATGACAGAAAATGCTGCAATCAAATAGCAGAAACTGATACACCTTATTACTGTTTAAAACGGCAGTTTCAATCACATTGAAGCGCC